CAAATGCGGATATAGTGTCATGTTGCAACCACACTCACTTGAATGGGACTGTAGTGTCAATTACAGTATGTGGAGGAAAAATATGATACAGTTATCTAAATAACCGAATGGAAACAAACAACTGAGTGGAGTGTAAAACAATTAAATGTAACCTTTTGAACCTGAATTTATTACTAAAAAACCGCCCACCTTATTTTCCTATACTCTATATTCAAATATTATCTTTTACAATCATAACAATAAAAACTGTGAATTACATAATATGTAGTGAGGGCATGCTCCCAGACCATGTGTATCATCTGCAGGGGCGACGCCAGGGATTTTGAGCCCCATGAAAAGATAATCCCATTGGTTACTTAAACATTTTGTTCTTAATGTTCTAAAATAGTTTGTCAGTCACGGGCGCTTAGAATCGTCCTAACGTTTCACCCCCTTACGGCGCCACTGATAATCTGCCAGATGGTAAATAGCTATTGGAAAAAAACTAAATCACTTTTCAGTCATATTTTGGGCGTGTTTTTAATACCAAAACTAGTTTCCAAAACGGGGAACCGACACTGTTCTTTCCATTAGTTGTCACACAGCAAACCTCAAGTTTCTTTATTTTCATCTGTCTTGATCTGTGTCTGAGCAGAGCATTAACTGTGGACTCTTTTCTCTCATGCTGCTCTTTAGAAATGGTTGTCGCAGCATGCCATTCATTTTCTAAATTATGCTTGACCTTAGTGACCTGAGATTTTACAACATCCGATTGAAACTGTTAGTATTTGTTTCCATGGGTGCCATTGAAAGTCTTATGATATGCTCTTCTTGGTCACACCGAGCAGTGGATGCACTAATTGCACATTTGAGATGGGTCACAGTGTTTTGTGCTGCAGCATACAGTATGTGTCATCTCAATGATCTAGTACTTGCAAATGTTTGGGAAATGTATGATGTCACACTTACTTCACGGTTTGTTTGGCCTCTTTGAAAACAGTCTGACAATGATAGGTTCTGCTTGTTGTTAGACCTTGGTTGTTTCGGTTATCTGCCATTTGTGGTCCCTCTGACCTGAAGCAGTGGATTGACAGGAAATGAAAAGGCCTCTGACTTCTTATTTTGTTCTTCTTCTTCACAGCAAACAACTGCTCCCTGCAATCTTTATATGACAGACGCTGACCTCCCGTGACCTGATTTCCGAGTCTGGTTTCCATCTCTCAGGAAGGTCCCTCATTATCCTCAAAAACTGCTTGTTATTCTGGAGAGCTCATTCTCCCCTTATCTGAGGGGAGTCAATGGCATTGTGCCTTGGACAAGTGTTCAGCAAAGACAAGACATTCAGGCCCAGGAAGAGGTTTGAACCGGGCACCCAGCGCTTTGAACTCTACAAGAAGGCCCAGGCCTCGCTCAAGTCCGGCTTAGACCTGAGGAAAGTGGTCCAGCTGCCAGAGGGAGAGAACATCAGCGACTGGGTCGCAGTTCATGTGGTGGATTTCTTCAACAGGATCAACCTAATCTATGGCACGGTGAGCGAATACTGCTCCGAGCGCACGTGTCCCATCATGTCTGGCGGGCTGAGGTACGAGTACAGGTGGCAGGACGGTGCCGACTACAAGAAACCCACCAAGCTGCCCGCGCTCAAGTACATGAACCTGCTGATGGACTGGATAGAGTCGCTCATCAATAATGAAAACATCTTCCCCACCAGAGTAGGTGTGTGAGGAGTCTACAAATGAAGGCTATTATTGAGTGTGTAACATAATACATGACTGATTGCTGCCGGCACTGCATCAATGCTGTTCCCCTTCATTAACATCTCACATGGGACGACGAGTTCAAGCAGAGGTTAATTAAACAATGAGCTTGACATTTAGAGGAGATTGCATGTGCGCTTCAGGTGGTATTTTATCTCAGCAGCAGATTTGACAATTAGCATAATGGAGGAGAGAATCAGAAAGGTCTCTGCATGGAGCTTACACGACTTTCCTCAGGGAGTTCTGGTTTCCACTACTGTCAATAGACCAGAAATCAAGTCAAAAGAATAACTCAAAATTGCCCAACTGTCTAAATGGCTATGCTAAATGCGCAATTTTAAAAGGGGGTTTCCCTAGAATGTACCCAGTGTGTATGTGCACAATTCACGAGCCTCAGCAGGAATAAATAGGGACGGAAAATGAGTGGATATAGAGAAACAGAACAATGGCTACCAAACTGTTTTTGTCTGGCGAACCACACAGCCCTTCCATAGATGCGATAACTTAAAGGATTTGTTTTAGTTTTTCACTGTTGAGAAAACACAGTTAAGTCGCTTCATGACACATCAATCCTACAAAGTGATCCTTACATTTTTTATTTTTAGGCATGGTGCCTTTCTTTTATTCAGTAGATTTCATTATGTATTATAACCACATGAAGGGGCAACAAATATACTTTTCCCCCAATACTTGTTGTAACAATTCAGTGGGAATTTTCTCCAGATTTTGCACATCTTCCAGTAAATCTGCAAAACATCCATTAACACATATTCGTCATCAGATCGTGTTACTTTTCCTCGAAAACACATTTGTATTTTTTTGTTGAATAACACTTAATGTAAAAGATTGTTTCAGCTAAATAGGCTTCTATCAGTTTTATATGACACTCTATGGCACCCGTAAGTGACTGAGTGACTGGGGCCTCTTGCAGGTACAAAATGTGTAATTTTAAAAGTTATATTAAAAAAAGGTGATAATATAAGATTAGATATAAGAGAAGGTTATATCTTTTTTCTTTTATATCCACTTTTTTGAGCCATTAATGGAAAGTAGGCTGTGTCAGGATAACTTCTTGTCACATTAATACATTGTCCATGAAAATCAGATTTCATTAAGATACTGCCTAGCACTCAATGACTGATGCTGTTGAAGGGAAATCAGATTACTTACAGAATATAACATCTGCAAAACATTTTTTTAATGGTGTAGAAATCGATGACATTTTTTATTAACATTCAATTAAACAATTTCTCATTAGTGTAACACAGCTCTCCTTTCTTCACAACAGGTGTACCATTCCCAAAGAACTTCCAGCAGGTGTGCAAGAAGATCCTGAGCCGTCTCTTCCGGGTGTTTGTGCATGTTTACATCCATCACTTTGACAGCATCTGCAGCATGGGCGCAGAGGCCCACATCAATACCTGCTACAAGCACTACTACTACTTCATCTCAGAGTTCAACCTCATTGATCACTCTGAACTGGAGCCGCTGGTGAGACAAAAGAGCAACCTTATTATAATGTGTGAGGGTGACGACAGGGAGCAGGAGAAAGAGGATCAGATGGATGATTCAAGTTGGGAGGGCTGTCAGTGTCACCGGCCACCGTGCCATTGATAAATTAATGTGCAGCTTGTTGGATGATGTTTAGATTTATCCTAATCTCAGTGTGTTTCCCCAGCTTGTGCACATGCTGGCAAAAGGAAAACAAATTAAATGTTTTGGTCTGAAACACATAGACTTCCTCTTCTTGGATTACAGTAATTTTGCATTAGAAACTAATTGTTTTCCGATTTTTCTTAATGAAAAATATGACTTACTTTATAGAAAATGTTTGAATTTGAAGCAAAATGTCTTCAAAGAAAAGTAGCTGACTTTGTGCAGTCATGTAATGAGATAGTTTTAATATTGGTTTCCTCTTTCCAATAAATCTACCTCCATCACAAATGAGCAAATAGAGCATTGTGCTCTAAGCTTCAATAAAAGGCTTCAGTTATTGTCATTATGGAGCGTGGGCTGTGTAATTCCATCTCAGAGGGAAACAGGGATGAGAAATTGATGTACCACACTACTACAGAAAATATTGAATGGTAATACTCTGTTTTATCCGTCTGTAGCACGTACTGTAATGCAGCTCTGCAGTTGTTGCAATCACAATAACTAATAATGTTAATTAAAATAGTATATTGAACTTCATAACAATCATTGATCTTATTGTACAGTATTAATGTGATGTGTTAAACATGTCCTTTTCTTTTCTTTTCAGAAGGAGATGACAGAGAAGATATGCAACTAAATAAAACCAAATGGACAAAATGAGTTTACATTTGCACGTTATCTGAGCCCCGTTAGAAATCGTCTGCATCAAAAAATCTCTAAATAATGAACACTTTTATATAAAGTTGTATGAGTAGTTTTTAAGCTACTCAGAGTATCAACTTAATACCACACTTCTTCACATGGTGGCCTTGTACCAAGAGATTTTTACTTGTTTACTGTTTGATGACATTATTTTAGGACTTTGTGTTTTGGTTTATAATACATTTCATGTACTAATTTTGTTTCCGTCCTGTGCATGTATGTTTCGCCTTTTTAAATACAGTGTTGGATCTTGTTTTGTTGAATGAATGTTTGTATTTTATGTGATGTCTTTTTCAATACTTTGAACATAAAGCAGCCTAAAAACAGTAAATGGTTTTTAAAATGTGTTTTTTTTTTTTACCGCACCACAAAAATGTGTACAAATCATTGGGTTAAGATTTAGTTTTTAGCCTGTCATCATCAGTCAACTCTGAAATTGAAAATATATAAAAAGGACATGTATTCTCATACATTACATTATATTACATTACATTGCATTTAGCTGACGCTTTTATCCAAAGCGATTTACAATAAGATACTTTCTTTAACGGTTAGGTCTATATTCTGGTTTAAACCAAGAATTGTACCACATAAGTGAAGACAACTATAAACTATAAAAACATAATAATGATGAAGGGTTTGTGCCATGAGTCGTAATTCCTAAATACTGCTGACCTGCCAAACCTCTGCATTTGTAAATAAATGCCACATCATGCACACAAAATCCCCATTACGTCACTGATGTATTAAAAGAACTCGTACGTGGATTGGGGTGCGGCAGCCAGCCAAGCGAAGTGACGTAGTAGTGATATCCCTATTTTCGACCAATGGGAGAAGCGGATCTTCAGAAAGGGGCGGGGAATACATCTGCTGGTGTTATTTCCCGCCCTGCGCGTCACTGCTGTGTGTTTGATGGATGTCAGCTAGCGATGGATGCTTACATCAGCTGTGAGACGCTTTGACAGACGGGATTCGGCTGGTTTGGACACAGAGGGCAGGTGAGAAAGGTATTATGGCATGTATGTTTTCGTTTTGACTAAAACTTCACTGTTTTTTTAAATTACAAACTATTGAGTTAGCGTAAATCGTATAGGAAAACCTAGTTTAGCACCTAATAGCTAGCCCCAGCTAATGACAATAACACCGGGTTAAACAAAGAGTCAGCGGTATACGCTAACTCTAGCTTACATGATGGTATTGTTAATGTTGTACGCATTATTTCCTCTTGTTAAGGGTGTCTATATGTGTAACAACAGTGCTAATGTTAAGTAGGTTAACAATGTGGCTGCATTGCTGGCTGTCGGTAAACACTTGATAACTAACATTACCGAGTTTTAGGACATAATCAGTAAGCGACATAGTAAGTCCTATTACTTCTAGATTTGATCACGTATGATATATTAAAAAAAGCGAACAGAAGACTAATACATATATTTTACTTGTTAGAAAGCTAAAGCTAATCAACATTAACTTTATTATGTTATTGTCTATCCTCGAACAAACCGAAACAACATTTTAACAGAAAGGGGAAACCGTTTTTTTCCTTTTCATTGATCCAATTCTCTGACTTCCCACCAGTTTTAAACTACTTTTCATCGTGTACACTAAATATCTCTGTCTCTTCTGATGTAGGCTGTTCCAGACTAACTCAGTGTTTGTGATGTGCTCTCAGTTGGCAGACATGGTGAGGCACAGCATGATGAAAGAGTTGCAAACCTTCCAGCACTCTCTCCAGGTAAGACACTTTCAGCTTTGAACACTGGTGCTTTCTCAACATTTAACTTCCCCCAACATGTGATGGAAACTATCAAGTTTCCAGGAAGTCTTTTTACACACAAGGTTATCAAGGTTATCAACTTTACCAAAATATTGAAGTTTCATCATTCTCTGAGTCATGCACTCCGGTAATATCCAGGGTGAGATAAGGCATGTGTCTTCCTGTATTCTCAACAGCTCACTGTGTTGGCAGGTTGCCACAGGTGAAAAGATTAAATAGTTGGAATAGTAGTTTTTTTTCCGATAATGAAAGTATGTCACTTTTATCAGAGAAGGTGTGTTAGTGGAAAACGTTTTCAAAGTTTAACAGTGAAAACAGTCAGAGAATAATGTATTTCTTCGCGTGTTTTCTCCACTGTACCACCATGGATCTCTCTGGCTTCACTCTCACATTCCCCTCCCTCTCTTCCCCCCTATCATGCGGCCTCTTCTCTGTATTTCAGGGTAACTCCCTGGCTGTGGGCCAAGTGGGGCAGAGCTGTGAGGCAGCTCAGGGGAACGGGGTCGTTTCAGAGCAGAGACAGCCCCTCTCCCAGGGCCCAGCAGGTACGACAGCACTATGGTTCAGAACGGCTCTGGAACTACTGAAACTAATGGTGCATACAGTAACCCACCGGCAAAGTCACTGCTGTGTTTACTCATTTGCTTGCATTTCTTTTGTGTTGCTACAGAAATTGAGAAAAGCCAGCCGGTGAATATCCCAGATGCAGCTAAAAGAAAGAAGAAGAAAAGAACCAGAGCGACAGACAGCTCCACAGGCACTTTTGATGGTAATGAAGCTGATAATATTGTAACACGTACAAAAAAAACACAACACAAACCCCTTCTGCAGTCTTATACGTGACTCCTTCTTCAGATCTCTACAAACTGACAGATGAGGTGCTCGGTCGGGGGGCTTTTGCTAAAGTTCAGGGATGCATAAGTCTGCAGAATGGACATGAGTTTGCTGTGAAGGTGAGTGAGAATATTCTGTTTGTAACAAAGTCAGACATTTTTTTTTCCTTTTTTATGATTTAGAAAATTCTTCGACGGCTCTTTGTATGCACTTTCTATTCTTGTTCTCTGTGTTATTGTGTTATGGATGTGTCCTGCTCTTCCATAATAACACAACCGTTATCAAATTCTGGCAACCTTCACACAGAATCTAGATCAAAGGATCTAATGTTAGGAGTATGTTAAGTAAATAATAAGATTAGGTAAGCCCGTGTTGTTACCTTTCAATACCTAAAATAGGCACATTTTCTTGGTACTTTCATACCACTGTATACAGCGATGACCGCAGTGTTTCCGCCAGACCAGGGCTGAGAGGGCGTCCACCCGAGAGTGGGGGGGCATGTGACGTCACGTCGTGAATTGAGCCGTCCCTTATAGATACTATCTCTTTACGTATTAGTGATGGGAATGCCGGATCATTTTGCTCGGCTCACTAAGAAGAGCCGGCTCCTAAACGGCTCTTCATTTTACTTCTTTTTTTTTTTTTAAACTTCATTTAAAATTATTTGAGCAATACATAATATACAAAAGTTATATTAATAATACACACAATGCATAAATATATAATATCTTNGCCTGTGGAGCTGTCTGTGTGTGTGTGTGTGTGTGTGTGTGTGTGTGTGTGTGTGTGTGTGTGTGTGTGTGTGAATAGACTGTTACCGGGGTGGTGAGCTCTGGAGTGGTGATGGGGGTACAGGCACTGCTGAGCTTCACTCCACTCCCCAAGTCAAAATCACAGATCTTTACTGGGGACACCTGAGGGGGAAAAAAACATGATATTCTTATTCCTCTAGCAACAACTCATGTCCTTCTGATAGCTGCCTGTCATTTAAAAAAGCCACTTACCCGATCGGTGTATTCACAAAGGATGTTCTCTAGCTTAAGGTCTCTATGGGCAATGCCTGCAGAAAAGAACATCGTTACCATGACAAAATGAAAAATAGAAGTCTGCAGATTGTCTCTTTGGACTTTCACAGGAAATCTGATTGGATGTCGGCAAACCTTTAGTGTGTAGGAAATCCAGAGCTTGGGCGATGTCCCTGACGACCTTACTGGCCTCCAGCTCGTCAAAGTACTTCCTGTTCTGGATGTGTGTCAGAATGGAGCCTTAATGAAGAGAAGACAAGCAGTGTGTTTGTAATAAATCATATGAAGAGCCCAGAGTACACAGATGTAACTGTTGAGCTATTTATTTGCACTTACCACCACACAGCTTTTCAAACACCAAATAGAAGCAGGAGTTGTCCTCGAAGAAGTGGATCAATTCCAAAATGTTTCTGAATCAAGATATTTAAAAATATTAGAATGTTTTTCATTCTATGTTGTTTTGTAATGTAGGTTAAAAAAAATTATAAAATGCACTCACTTGTTTCCTTGACACTGGTAGAGAGTCTCTACTTCTCTAAAGACTCTGCTGCGACTGTGCCCTGCACTCTTTTCTACAATCTTTGAAACACAAAACAATTTTTTTTTTTAAAGTCTTAGCATTTACGCAAACCCAGGCATGATTTACTTTATCCCTGCTATACTCTACTGTGTCATACTATGCTATTATGTCATACTGTCTTTCCACGTTAATAACTATATCATATTTCAATTTATGAAAAAAACAAAACAAACGTTATTAACTTAATCACAGAGAAGGTTTTAACTGAATACGGTCATTCAGCGTTTCCGCCAGGGGGGCGTCTTGCCGTCATTTGACGCCCTTAAACTCGGAACGCCCTGAACTCGAGCCGAGGGCGTCCAAAAAACAAAAATCGAGAGAAGATCGAATTTTTATCGCTTGAAATGACGAAAAGGAAAAAAGGGCAAGGACCTCCCTCTGTTGGAGGGGCGAAGGAGTCTGCTGGGATTATTTTCCCCGCTAGCAAAACGTGTTCCTGCGACGGAAAGCGTACTGCCGGCGAGCTTTGACGGGGGGTGCTAGTGGAGGGGGTGCTAGTGGAGCACGCGCGTGAACTGCGAGCGCCGGAGCCTCGCAGCGGCGAAACTGAGGCTCCGTGGTAAACTGNCAGTGGATAACAGCTTCTGGCCTGGACACAGTTTGCACCTCACCGTCACATTCCTGTCTATTCTTCGGACAAACTCAAAATAATGGGCATACCTCCAGGGTGGAGGTATGCCCATTATTTTGAGTTTGTCCGAAGAATAGACAGGAATGTGACGGTGAGGTGCAAACTGTGTCCAGGCCAGAAGCTGTTATCCACTGCTGTGAACACCTCGTCAAACCTCAACAAACACCTGCAAAGAACACATGCTAAGGTGAAGCTAATAGCTAAGGACCCCCGAACCCAGAGTGAGGATGTTGTGAGTGCGCCGCCGCCGAAGCAACACAAATTAGAATTTGGAGGAGCTGGTAACCAAAGCAGAGATGGACAGGCTTGTAGCATCCTTCATAGTAGAGGAAATGTTGCCCATTTGCAAAGTGGAATCACCATCGCTCAGAGATATACTGCGCAAAATAATACAGATAGCAGGAGACAGAGGACAGCCATGGTCAGATAGGGAAACATTCAGGAGCTATCTGGATCAGTCTTATGCGACAATGGAAACTGAACTAAAGAGAACATTTGAAACTTTAGCAGTCCGCGTGATCTGCCTGTAGGGAGGGGCGGGCCGGCCCTGCGAGTAAAGTACCGAG